AATGCTCCCCCCAGAAGAAAGTGGGACCCCACCAGCTCTGCCTCACTCTCCCTGCCCAAATCCAAGGTCTGGGGTGACTGCTGAACCAATTGATGATGGCAGCCTGGCAGCCTGGCCCTCTTAGCTCCTGTCCTGGGTATTTCATTGCCTAACAAAGTATTGTTAGAATTTTATTAAAAAATAGTTTTAAAGTGGAATTTCATAGTTTTTAATATGATAAACCATTTATGGTCAAAATCTTTAAAACTAATGATTTTATGTATCCCTTTCACTTCCCTTGCATAACTCTTACACTCACTCTTACACCCAGCAGAGACCTGATACATAACATGGCAAACACTTGGTCATTATTTGTTGAATAGCAAATTATTTAAAAAGTACTAATCAAAAATGAATGGTTGTTGGATTCATGGGAACAGTGTTCCATTAATGAGTTGCCTTTCTGTCATGTTTTTGAGTTTTAGTCAGGGTTTGGAATTTTCTAGAAACAGGACTACATGCACATTATTTTTTTAAAAAAGCTTTTTCCTGAGTATTCTTTAAGATACAATATTTTAAAAAAAATTGTTATTTTGAAATAGAGCAAGTAGAAAAAAATATTAGCTTATTGAGGTAAAGATCATGCCACCATTACTTTTTAACCATTATGCAGAAAGACAACAAAAGAGATTACCTACTCTTTTACTCTGTGTACAGAAAACCATTTCTATGGATAATTTTGTATGTAAGCAAGCATATGAACTTTTATAAATATTGTTTCTAGCACAATTCTATATTTGTTGACTAATTTATAATGTGAACCAGGGCAGCAAAGAAAAAAAATCTTGGGAAAGTAAACTACATGATAAGAAGGATAACAAGAAATAAACTCTAAATTGGATGGGGGAAAAAAACTGAACAAACTACAAAGGATCCAGCTATCCCACTACTGGCTATATACCCAAAGAATATGAAATCGGTATGCTGAAGAGATATCTGAATTCCCATGTTCGTTTCAGCATTATTCACAATAGTCAACATATGAAATCAATTTAATTGTCTATCAATGGTTGAATGGATAAGGAAATGTGGTTCTGATACAGAGTAGAATACTATTTAGCCTTTAAAAAAAAAAAGGAAATCTTGCCTTTGGGGACAATGTGAATGAACCAGGAAGACATTATGTTATGTGAAATAAGCCCATTCCTGAAAGATGCATGCTAAATGATCCCACTAATACATGGAATCTAAAAAATTCAAACTCACAGAAGCAGAGAGTAAATTGCTAGTTACCATAATCTGGGTGAGAGAGGGTGGTTATTGGTGAGATGTAGGTCAAAGGACATAAAATCCCAGTTAGACCAAAGGAATATGTTCAAGAGATTTATGATATGCATCATAATGACTATAGTTAACAACTATGTAGTGTACTCTGGAAATTGCTGAGAGTAGATTTTAAATATTCATACCACAAAAAAATTATGTGTGAGGTAATACATATGGTAGTTAGCTTCATTTATCCATTCCATAATGTATACATATTTCAAAACATTTTGTATATGATACTTTTAAATTTTTGTTATAAAAAATAAGTTTTTTAAAATAATAGTGTTCAGTGTCAGAATCAGTATGATACAGTTTCCAAGGTCAGGGTGAGAAGAAGAATTAGAATCAAGGTTAAAATGAGCTTTGTGGTCAGAGTCAGAGTTTGTGGTCAGGGTGATGGTCAGAGTTAAGGTCAGATTGGGATCAGGATTGTAACATAGTGAGGTACAAGAGTATAAAAAACAGAGTTAGTGTCAGTTAAGGTCAGAATAAGGAGAAGGGTAAGAACCAGGATAAGGGTCACAGCCAGGGTCAGAGTCTGGTGGATTTTCTTTGGAAGGGTCAGTGTTAAAGTCAAAGTTAGAATTATGTTCAGTGTAAGGGACATCCATGAAAGTGAGTGAGCATATGAGTTGGTATCAGGGTCAAGTTGAGGGCCTGAGTGAAAGGTAAGTGTGTTCATCAGCTTTTTGTCACTGTGACCAAAACAAGAACAACTTAGAGGAGGAAAAGTGTATTTGGACTTGCAGTTTAAGAGGTCTCCATCCATGTTTGGCTGGAAGGAAGTGGCAGAGGAAAGCTTCCAGCTCATAGCAGCCAGGAAGCAGAGAGAGAGAGAGAGAGAAATCAGGGACAAAATATAATCCCCAAGGCTATGTCCCCAGTGGCCTACTTCCTCCAGCCACACCCCACTGACCTACAATTACAACCCCAGTAACTCATTTAAATTATTAATCGACAAGTGGTTGATGATATTACAGACATTCCTACATTTCCTAACATATGAGCTTTTCAGGGGACACCTTATATCCAAATCGTAACAGTAACTGGGTGAGAGGGAGAGTCAGGGAAGTATCAGGGTGTAGGTCAGGTTCATGATAAAGTTCAAATCACCAACAAGGTGAATGAGGCTGATGTTCAGGTTCATAGTGTTGCTATGTTGAGCATAAGATTCATGATCAAGGTCAAGTTCTGGAATCAAGATGAGTCATTTGCAGTGTCCTTGTTAGGGTGAGGTTCTGGGTCATGCTCATGGACATAATGAAGGTCAGAGATAAAGGTCAAGGTAATATTCAGGTAGGTGTCAGGATCACAGTCAGGATTAAAGTTAGGGTCTAGTTCAGCATGAGGAGCAGTGTGAGGGTGAAAATAACATCTGTGATGTTCAGGTTCATTGAGGGTAAGGTGTCTATCCTGTTCAGGGTTAAGATCAGGTAGGACACAGGGTGTGAGAGTTGAAGGTGAGGTTAAAAGTGAGTTCAAGTTCAGGGTCAGCCCTAAAGTGAGAGTCAACATCAAAATAAGAATAAAGAAGAGTTATGGCTGTATTAATTCACCTATTATTTACAATCTTATTTCTAGAATTGATTCAGGCACTGCTGTCAAACAAAATAAGCATTATTCTTTTTGCTATTTCTGGTTAATTTTTCAGAAATAATAATGGATTGGGGGTATTCACTGCTTCAGTAACTTTATTTTTATTTTCATGGATCATCAGATCCTGATGATTCATACCACCATTTCTGAAAAGTCAAAATATTCCAAATTTTACTTCTAAATAGGCTTCTAAATAGACACAAAAATAATATGAATGCTAGAATACGCAGAGTCATCAAAAGGTTTTCTGTCAAAAAAGAAACTTTTTTGCAATTTCTCCAATTCACACAGCTTACAAACTGTTGAAATAGAGTTTAGATGTTGAATTTCCCACCCGCTGTAAGAATCTTTTGTACCAAACCATTATACTTATGTCACTATATGTCACTATAAGAAATATAAAATATAAAATTTCATTCCCAAACAAAATATTTTCAAATAATAATTTTTTAAAAAGTATTTCTTACCACATGCCTGTTAATTGGTCATCTTTCTCTGAACACTTGAGGAATGGTCATCTAAATAGTTCCCAAGGTTAGATAGTTCTAAATTTAAGAGCATCTTTGCGAATTGAACCAAAGTAGCTTCCAACTATTCCTTTCAGCTACTCTGCACACAGCAACAGTGTAACTCCAAAAACTTTTTTCATATAGTTTCTCCATCATTTTCTTCCACTCATGCACACTAGTCCAAAGAAGAGGATGTTGACTACGGTCCCAATGAGTGAGCACCAGGTCCCAGTTAACAGACTGAGATTTTTCTGAGGGGTACAGTAGATAGGCATTGGCCCCTGCCTAGGGCACCTCAGAGGTGCTGGCAGCATCTTTCCATTGGAGGCGAGCATTTTCTGGCATAGTCTGAGGCCCCCACACATCCACACTTTGGAAGAATGGCTAGGGGCACTGAGCTGAGGTTTGGTTCAGGGTAAACCAAACTGCAAAGGAAAAGAAAAAAAAGAGAGAGAGATCGGGGGTGCACAGATCCGAGAAAGCCTGCTAGTGACAGGAACTGGGGAAGGACGACTCAGCCCGGAAACTTTCCCCACCCAAGAAGAAACACAGAAAACCGAGTGAAAAGCTCTAGGCGGCGCCAAGCGGGATCTGATTGACGTGACCCGCCTCCTCGCCCCGCCCATCTGCCCCCCACCCCCACCCCGCAGTCCCTAAGGCCTCGGGGCTTTCAGACGAGTTAGCGCTGCAATCCAAAACCTTCATTTCGTATTCGTTTTGTTTTTATTCTTTTTAATTATACACAACATTAGGATTCATTTTGACATAATAATAAAAGCATGGAATATAATTTGTTCTAATGCAGTCCCCAGTACTTCCCACTTCCTTTTCCCTCCTATCCTCCCTCCCCCTTCCCTTCCCTGTACCTTACTGATCTATTTACTTATAGTTTTGATGCTTTTTTTTTTTCATTTCGTTTTTCAAAAGTAATGACTCTGACCCAATTCTGGTTTCACCCCAGAGCTCTAATAGGAGTCAGGAGGTCTGACAGAAAGGAGGAAAGTGACTGAGATGGCTTAAGCAGTGGGAAAGGCTGGCTTCTGATTTTTCCCAGTCCTGGGATCTGGGTCTGAAGGATGGTGGAGCCAAAGGGTAAAGATTTGGCCATCTGAAAAATACCAGACGTATTGAATGGTTCCCAATATCCTTTCAAACTCTGAGCTCCTGAGGTACTCTGGGGAGTACCCTCAAAGGTATTCTGTAGTAGCCTTGGAATCAGAAATCCTAGAATATTGTTCAAGTAGGAGCTAAGGGCAGGTGATTGGATAATCGTGGCAGTAAACCTGGCTCTGGTTGAACCAAGGAGACTTGCAACAGCTTTCTGCTAGAGTAACATATCACTGGACCATAATTTCTGGAAGGCTTTTATCTCACTTTTTCTACCACCCATTTCCTCCCAGCACTTTCTCTTTAGTCCCTGCCTTCCTGGCCCTTAGTTCAGCGTATTTTAGTATTGCCCAGTGGTTACTTAAAGCTGCTAACCTCTATTACTAAATTAAGTCTCCAAGATCATATCTAAGAAGGATTGAAGAAAAAGAAACCAACTGCCCTCATAAGCCAGGGCCAGACAATGGAAAAAGAGCCAGGAAGTCCAGCAAAACCAGTACTGGTATTTATTGGGGTATCATGAAGAAGCACATCCTGAGTACATGATCTACAAAGCCAGAATTTAAGGGCTTCTTGAAGATGAAGGCCTGGATCTCTGGGCTAGAAGGAAGGAAGCTTATGGTTTGGGTGCTCCTGGGATTTCAGGAAGTCCTTATATTTAACCAGAAAAGATTTTGCCAGAATGTCCAACTGTTGCTGGAGTTCCTGCAGAGCCCCAACTTGTTCTTGCTGCTCCCCTTTCATATGCTGCTTGTAATAGCTGACATAGAAGTTCACCCAGTCATCCACCACAGTCATCATGTCTTCTTCAGAAATAAGAGGATCATTAAAGACCTGGGAAAAGTAGAGAGAGAGTTAGCAAGGAAGAATGTGGTCAGCAATGTGATTCAGGAACACCAGAATAGTCTCACAAACTCTCACATCTCTTTTCTCGGATTTATATTCCCTCTCTTTAGTTCATTCCATTAACCACCATCACCCTCAAGTTTCAAATTATTCTCCCTTCTCTGTCCCCGCCCCAACACACGTACTTCAGGCCTGTCCTTTAAAACAGTGCCTGGGCTTACCTGCTGATTCAGCAGAACATTAAATTCCTTCATTCCCGTAGAAATAAGATCCTTATTAGACTGAAGATGGGCCATCTGCCTGTATAGAGAAAGAGGTAGAATTTAAATATCCCTTTCCCTCACCCTTGGTTATTTCCCTCAGTCCTCTCACTGCCTTTAAAGGTCCCTGGTGCTTTACAGGTACACCTTCTTTCCAAAACTTTTCAAATCTTGCTCTGAAGTCACATTTTTTCCCAAGTTGGACTCACCTTCAGGTCTAACAGAGTCCCTATGTTCTTTGTGCTGAGCTAGATGCAGGCACGAAGTCAAGTGCTCACTTCAGAAGAAAACCCCACATATCTAGGTTCTGAGGGAGGGTGATAGGTCAGCCTAGGGTGGAGAAGGAGGGTGAGGCTTCCCTGAAGTTAGAGAGATAGACAGCCCAAGAAAAATAGATAAACGAAGAGACCCAAAAATTGCAAAAACTAAACCAGGAACATATGTTTGCCCTCTGCCCCTCAACCCAATATCCAATATCCCATCCAAGTACTCAAGAAACTAACATTAACTGAGTCCTTGTTACATGACAAGCACCTTTACATCATCAGCACAATGTGAGGGCAATCCTTCTCCCTATCTATAGATGACATACTAATAGCAGCTACATTACATTTATTCATTTGTGCCAGGCACTATTTTAAACATGTACTATTTATCTTTATTTTGAGGATCCTTTTAGACATATTTTGCAGATGAGCCATCCATAAGATGTGGATCAGGATATGTTCCACAAAAATGGAGATGTATTTATCTTGTTCTCAGACATATCATCAAGTATTCAATAAAGCAGAAATACTTTTTCTTATTTTTAAATTTTTTCCTAATGTTTTCCATTCTAACAGATTATTTTCAAATTTCAAAATCACTACATACTAATCAAAATAATCAAAGAAATACAAAAGTGTACACTGAAAATTTTGATCATTTTGCTGTCCACACAGAAGTAACCAGCATTAAAGATATATGTATTTCCTGTTGTAGTTTTTGCCATTCAAACACCAACATTCAGGGGCTGCTGTTGTAGCTCAGTGGTAGAGTGCTTGCCTAGCATGTGTGAGGCACTGGGTTCAATCCTCAGCACCACATAAAAACTAATAAATAAATAAATGCATAAATATTTCTTAAAAAACAACATTCATAGGCACTTATATATTTATAGTGACTTGTTAACTTGCTTTTTGATTACAGTAGTTTCTTAATAAACGTTTAACAATATTGACTTCTTTTTGATAAACAGTTTATTAATTTTAAGACATATATAAATTCACATCACTGTCGCCACGATCAGGATATATAACATTTCCATCATCCAAAAAAAACTTCTTTGTGATACTTCTTCGCTTTGTAGTCACCTCCATTCCACTCCTGAACCTGGCAAAAACTAAACATCCTCCATCACTACAGTTCAGTCTTTTTAAAGATGTCATGTCAATGGAATCAATCATAAAAAATGCATAATCTTTGAGACCCACTTCTTTCTCCTAGTACAATGCCTTTGAGGTTCAACCAAATTGTTGCAAATATCTATAAGTTGTTCTTTTTCATTGCTGAGTGTACGTTGTATGGATGCACCACAATTTATTTATTCAGCCACTGAAGGACATATCAATTGTTTGCAGTTTTGGCAAATATGAATAGAAATTCTATAAACATTTGTGTACAGGTTTTTGTGTGAATATGTTTTCATTTATCTGGAGCAGAAAATATGTTAACCACTAGGAGGAATAGTTACACTACAACTTAACAAAATACATATATATAGAAACAATAACAAACTCTGACAGTTCAATAATAAAACAAATAACCCAATCTTTCAAATAGTCAAAATATTAGAACACATGTCATAAAGAAAATATGCAAAAAGATAATAATCAAATGAAAAGATGTTCAATATCATTACTCATCAGGAAAATGCAAATTAAATCCACAATGTGTTATCACTTCATGCCCATTTCAATGACTAAAATTAAAAAGACTGGCTAATGTAATTATCATACATTACTGTTGGGAGTGTAAAATGGTACTACCACTTTGAAAAACAGCATACAGCAAAACCAAGTGCCTTCTGGTATAGTTCATTAATTTCAACACACATATAAATTCAAATAATTACTACCATAATAAGATACAGACATTTCCATCACCCCCCCAAAAAACTCCTTTGTGTTACTCTTTTATAGTTACCACCATTCCCATTTGGCAATTTCTTTTAAAAAGTTCAGTATACACTTATCACATGACCCAGCAATACCCTCATAGATATTTTATCCATGATAAACGAATATACATGTCTACAAAATTCTTAAATGCAAATGCAGGTGTTCATAGCACCTTTATTCATCATTGCCCAAAACTGGACACATTCTAAATATTCACAAACCAAAGAATGGATATACAGATTGCAGTTCATTCATGCAATGGACTACTCCTCAGCAATTTTTTTAAAAGAATAGACTAATGTTTGATAATATGATAATATGAATTAATCTCATAAACATGCTGACCAAAGATGACAGCTATAAAACTACATATAGCACACTATAATTCTATTTGTATGCAGTTCTAGAATAGGCACTATTAATCTGTAATGGAAGAAAGCAAATTTGGTTACATGGAGTCAGAATAAAGTGTGAGAATTAAAATGCAGAAGTGGCTGATTGTCCTTTTTACACACACACACAAACATCTTGATTATGACAAGCAACTTCATATACTTTTAGAAGAAGTATAAATTGGTAAAACTTTTTAAAGGATAATTTTACAATTCTTTGAATTAAAAGACATATGTGCTTCAACCCAATGATTCTGCTTTGGATTCTACCTTGGACTCTACTTTTACAACACATAGATATGCTTGTACAAGGAATTTGCCATCCCAGTTTGTACAGATGAAAAGGTAGAAAAAATATAAAATTTTATCAATAGAGAGAATCTTGAAAGACACTATGGCATGATGTGGAGCTAATAAAATAAATGAAAGCCAGACAAAGGCACATGCCTGTGATCCCAGTGACTTGGAAGGATAAGGCAGGAGGATTGCAAGTTCAAGACCAGACTCTGGCAAATTATTAAGGCCCTAAGCAACTTAGAGAGACCCTGTCCCAAAATAAAAAGGGCTGGGGATGTGGCTTAGTGATTAAGTGTCCTTGGGGTCAATTCCCCTGTCCCCCCCAAAAATAAAAAATAAAATAAAAAGTGTAGATACATATGTGCTAGTATGAAATATCTTTAAGACAATGTTAAATGAACTATAGTTTGAATAAATTAAACCAGGCCAGGATTACTAGAGTAGGAATTAATTTCAAAACTATTTATGTGTATAATGATAGACTGTTAACTTCTAGAGAGGGACTGTTATTGGCTGGGAAAATGGAAAGAGTAATTCTTGCAAGGGAGAATTTGACCTTACCTCTTATTATTATTTGAATTATTTTATAGCAAAAATTTTTCTGTTTTTTTAGGGGCTGGGTTTGTGGCTCAGTGGTAGAGCACTTGCTTAGCATGTGTGAGGCACTGGGTTCAATCCTCAGCAGCACATATAAATAAATTAATAAAACAAAGGTCCATCAACATCTAAAAAAAATTTTAATTTTTTTAAAATTCTTAAAAGTAATGTAAAACAAGAAAGTAAAAGAGGGTATTTTAAAAATTGTTCATTTCAGGTTTGAATACTGCTTCCTTTCCTAGCAGATTAATAGCTGTTCACTAAATATTTGTTGAATGAATAAATGAATAATTTTGCCACTTTTCAGCTCTGTGATGTTGATGAATTCACTTTAAATATATGTGTCAGATTTTATTCTGTGAAGGAAGAATAAAATAATAATATGTCTATCTTATAAGAATTATTGGAAAAAAATTCATTCATTCATTCCACAAGTAGATATTTGGCATCTACCTTGTGCCAGGCACTGATATGAAGTAACAAAATATATTGACACCAAAGATAAAGTTCCTGTCTTCTTGAAGCTTACATCTAGGGGACTTGAAGGAATGAATTATAAGGGGCAAACTGTGAGAGATAAGGCAGGGCCCAAACTACAAAGCTTTCTGGGCCATCAAAAGAAGTTTGGGTTTATTTTCAAATGTGAAGAAAAGTCATTGAAGAGCTTCAATACTGAAATCTCCTTCTATAAAAACAATGGAAAGCCACTGAAAGATTTTAAGCAAGGGAATTATAAGTTATGAGGTCTTTGGACTATATATATATATATATATATATATATATATATATATATATATATGCAGGAGAAGAATTGGAGAGATCAATGAGGGTAAAACCAATAATATGAGGAGTTTGGGCTATTCTGCCCAGTGCATAATATACTACTTGGTGCCAGGAGTTAGGGGCAGGCTACCAAAAGGTAAAGGAAGTGAAATTATTTATTTTTCAAGTCACTGATCTGCACCCTTGGGTCAGGGGAGGTGTATGATGGGTCCTTGTCCTCAAAGACTTAAAGTCCACCTGGGACATGACAGAGATAACTAATAAAATGAAATACAAAGTGGCTCAAGGCAGTATTTTAAGGGCCAAACATGTATTACAATGAATAGGACTGCCATGGTCTCTGAGCAGGGATAGGTCAATGTGACATTGGTAGTCAGTAAAGCTGCAGAAGGCCTATAAATAATGGGACCATATCAATTAACCCAGGACAGCTCCACTTTAGACCTGTTATACCAACATAATTACTAATAGTGATTCTTTGATGACACTCTCAAAAGTCCTGGTTTAGACAATAAATTATACAATGAAACTAATTATGAGTGTCACTTGACCTGCCTCACATGAAGCTAAGGGCCTCACATTGAAACACTTAAATAATGGCTAATGCTTAAATAGTATGTACTATTGAGAGACCCCAGCCCAATAACTTTAGGCCCAGTAACAAATCACCAGGGCTTGCTTCCACACCTGCACAGACGTCAGATGTATTTTTCAGAAAATCAGTTAAGTGTAACCGATTAAGAAAGGACAGGATGGTTGGGAAAGGAGCCGGCACGGTTGGGCAAACGGGATCAGACAATGAAAAACCATACAATGAATAACAAATGGTTTTTATGTGGTTTTTCCAGGAACCTATAGTGAAAAACAAGTTTACCCTTTAAGTGACCTATATGCTGGATTCAAAAGAGCCAATGAGATACCTGTTACTGTGCTAGGAGGGAAACTGACCACTGTACCCTGTAAAATATCTGTACCCCAAAGCCCGGTGTGCCAGTTCACCGAAGCTCCGGCTGAGGTTTCGCTGAGCACCCGCAGGCGCCTGTGTATCAATAAATCGCCTCTTGCTTT